CTTGGCATTTCCAGCTGGACAGAAAGGAGACATTGCCTGGTAGTATGCTGTTACAAAGAGAACTGAACAGATTTCCTGCAGATGCAGCACTGATATATATTATTTCTAATACAGGGCACAGGTCTCAACTTCACCGTTATCCCTAACTATCCTTCACAGAAAAGCCCTATACAATTGAGATGTTAGGTTTTCCCACCTTAGTTTCCATGATGTTTGATGGAATGTTTCCCAATTTAGGTTTGCTGGTTGTTTCCTCATGACTATATTAGGGTTATGCATTTTGAAGATTATGTTATAGATGATGCCTTATTCTCTGCCTCAAACAAGGAGGTCCTCATAACATCAGTTTTCTACAGCTTAGCAAAACGTTTGACCATATGGCTAGGGTTTTGTTTGCCAAATTTGTCTATTAGGAAGTTCTATTTCCCCTTTTATAATTAATAAGTAATTCATAGGACTATGCTTTCAGATCATTAGACTTATTATTTTAAAGAACAGAAACCAGTAGCTTTAGTATCTGCAGATGGCTCCTCCCTGAATCAATGATGACTTCAATAGAAGAAAAGGACAATATTTAACTTTATTGGTTTCTCTCCCGTTCCTAATTTTTTGCACCAGGTCACCCACATTCTGAGTTCCTGGACACTGCCAGCTATTGAGCATGTTGAGTTCTGTGTTAAAGCTGGGTTGCTTCTGGGCTTTCCTTACTCACTGTTCTGTTAAAGCTGTTACCACTTGTCTGTGTGTTTTCTGGCTTCCAAACACAGTTGTCGCCTTTGCCTTTTAGAATACATCCTGCTGCTGTCATTCCCACTAGACTTGTAAAAGTGGATCCCTGTGTTTAAGTTCCTACCTTAACTGAATGAATGCCCATTATTCTTTCCCTACTTTCAAGATTATATGAATGGCATACAGTATGGAATCTTCTGTGATTTGCTCTTTTTATGCAATACCATGTTTTCTGAGATTTGCCCATGTTCAGACATCAGTTCTACTTCATTAATTTTTAATTAATGATGCTAGATCCCAGAGTGTGAAAATGTTGCAATTTTTTCCTAAATTTCTACCACATTTCTAAAAATACAAGATTTGGGATAAGAGGGGTGTCTACTTTTTGAAAGAACACATAGTTCACCTGATGTGGAAGTTCCCTCTGTGTGCTGTGATTACCATTAATGAATAAAGAAACTGCCTTGGCCTGTTGGTAGGGCAGAACTTAGGTAGGTGGGAAAGACTGAACTGAATGCTGGGAGGAAGAAGGGTGGAATCACATAGACGCCATGGTTCTGCCGCTAGAGACAGACGTTCTGAAACTTTGCTGGTGGCCACGAACTCGTGGTGATATACAGATTAATAGAAATGGGTTAAATTAAGATGTAAGAGTTAGCCAATAAGAAACTAGAGCTAATGGGACAAGCAGTGATTTAAATAATATGGTTTCTGTATGATTATCTCGGTTCTGGGCTGCAGGACGAACAAGCAGCCCCCTTCCAATATTCCCCTTTGTAATTTAAGTCAATAGGAAAGTAGAGCCTGTTTAAAGAAAATACAATATACATACTCCAGACTCTCTGTGAATTTTTTATTTTTACGTAGCTTATTTTTCTTTATTTTTTTAATCTATGACTACCTGTACTCTGTCTCTTTAAAGACTCTACCCCCCCTTTTTTTTAAAGCATTAACTTTATTTTATGACTCTTTATATTCTTTTTTCTCTCTCCCAAGCCTACGTACACCCATCTAACACTGTGACACATTTAGAAGTCGTTTATGTCTGATTCTGTCCTATTGTGAATCTGTAATTCTTTACTGTCCAGGATCACTTCTTAAAATGCTAAGCGCTTCTTAAAAACTTAAGTTGTGCCATTAGTAGGGGTAATACAGTAACACCTGTTTGCCTGCCCAGTCTAAAACTTAAGCTGCGCCATTACTATGGTAAATACAGTAGTTCCCCCGTGCTCCGCACAGTCTAGCATGGTGGAGCCCATTGTGCCTCTGAGCTATGCACAGTGCCCCAGTTCCAAGCACACAGCCAGTCCAAGTTGCCATCAAGCAAGCCACATGCATGCAGCATGATGCTCATAACCCCTATCCAAGTGCTTGGTCTCCCAAAAGAGCCAGAGGACGCACTGGCAACATAGCCCAGAAATCCAGCATTTCAAAACCGCCACAGCTTTTTTTTTTTTCTTATTGCTATGGCGGAATCAGGAAAATCTCTCTAGGAGCTGCGGCAATCAGCCAGCAAACAGCAAGAAGTTGTGTTAAACTCTGTATTTTTTTTTTTTTTTTAGAATTTATTTTTAAGCCCTTTTAGGTTTTATGTGGAGTTAGTTGGCCACGTTGGGCTGCCAAATGTTGGAGGGAGTGGGCAGCTTGTTGTCCCGGCTACCCAGCTAGCTTACACCCAAAATAACCACACAGAAACTATATTAATTAAAACACTGTTTGGCCATTAGCCTTCTTATTGGTTAACCTTACATATTAGTTTAACCCATCTCCATTAATCTGTGTATCACTACATGGCTGTGGCTTACCGGAGATTCTAACCAGCGTTCATCTCAGACAGGAGGATCTATGGCTTCTCTCACTCTGCCCTTCTTCCCAGCATTCAGTTCTCTCTTCTCCACCTACCTAAGTTCTATCCTATCAGGCCTAAAGCAGTTTCTTTATTCATTAACCAATGAAAGCAATACATGAACAGAAGAACCTCCTACACCAAGAACCATATATGCAAAATGTCAAAAATAGGACATTTCATTTTCTTAACTTATAAAATGAGCCTAATAATACTGAACATACAGAACTCAATGAATGTCAGTTACTTGGAGACAACACCAAAATAGGCTTCAAGAATTTGGAATCAATATCCTTCTCTGAATGTTAAGCTGCAAAATCAACATATTATAGACAAGAGCAGAGGTATGAAAAGGTAACACCAAAGAAGAGTTGCAGGACTGGTAGCCTCTGACCATAGTACAACAACCGCAATAGTAAAAGGGGGTGCCACTCAGAATGGGAGCAGCAAGAAAATGAGACTCAAGAGACGAAAGTTGGCAGATAATCCAGATAAATACTGTCCATGAGAGTGGGAGCTTAACCAGCACCTGACAATTTTCTGTTCTGCTCCATAAGGGTCTGCTTGTATGAAGAGAGATACTGATAACAACATACAAGTCTCTCAACCATTTGCACCACTGTAGGTCAAACTATCTCAGTTGAAGTGGATGCAATACATCATATAAATAAACATGAAGCATTTAAGTGTTTATTTTACCCACTCCCCATCATTTCCTGTTCCCCTTGCTTTGATAGATTCCCACTATAACCAGTACTTGGAGTTCTCACCAATTCACTACCATATGACAAAATAAGTCTTTAGAGCTTCCAGCCCAGAGTCAAGATCATGATCCAGTAAATAACCAAAGCCACGATGAGTGTGCCTACATATCTACCCAACCCTTGCCTAGACTAGAGCAGCATCATTTCCAAGTACTTTTGACCAGTCTTTCTTTATTGGTGTCTTGAACTCCTTTTCCACTTCATGAAACAATTGAAAACGAAGTTGGCAGACCACTAATATTGTGCCTTTCTTTTTTACTGTCTGTAAACATTTCACTGAATCATCATGTATTTTGTCAATAGTTAGCAAAAAGCATGGCCACTTTTCAAATAGAAGAGTTTATTGTGCTTCCAATTATTCTGTTAGTCTGAAAAGAACAATATTTTTAAACATTTGCTATTAATGGCTTCTAGTAAAATAAAAGTCAGGAAAAGTCTACTTTTTTGTGAAACAGACTAGCTCACTTCGTACTGCACTGCAGAATGAGTGCTGAACCACACCGCTGTACTGTAGTTGCATGTGAGCCTCTTTGAAAATATAGCAAGCAATGTTCAACTGGAAATGTGTTCTACAAGGTTGATCTGTAATTGGTGGATAGAAACTCAAGCTCATTCCTCAAATCTGTCTATATAAATCAACCTAATGATAACAAATCAAGCCCTGCATCAGATGGTTATGATGCAAAGATGAATAAGGTTTAATTCTTGTATTACTTTGCTTACAATTCCATCAGAAAGATGAGTAAACAATAAACCTGAAAGGTAAACTCTGAGGGCCTATTAAGGTGTCCAAGCTAGGGTATTCAAGAAAGGAATGATTAAATCTATGAGTTAAGAAGTTAAGGAGATAGTCAGGTGGTTGTGGCACATACCTTTATTCCCAGCACTTGGAAGGCAGAGGCAGGTGAGTGTCTGAGTTTGAGGCTAGCCTGGCCTACAGAGTTAGATCCAGGACAGCCAGGACTACACAGAGAAACCCTATCTTGGAAAAAAAAGAAAAGAAAAGGAAAGAAAAAAAGAAGGAAGGAAGGAAGAAAGGAAGGAAGGAAAGAAAAAAAGGGAAGAAAGGAAAGAAAAAAGTTCAGAGAGGTATCCTAGCATTCTAAAGAGCCTATTAAGAAGAATTAAACAGGTAAGTCTGTCTGCTGATGGCAACAGGAAGCAGCATTAAACCTGAGAAACTCCCAGGAGCTCCTCTAAGGAGTATGAGTAAAGCAGGGGCAAGGAGGTCAGGGGATGAAGTCAACAAAGGAGGAATTAGACCTTCCACTGGCCAGAGCACCCCAAGAACCGTACTAGAAACTGATCCCGTCCCCCTTCAAGTTGGCCAGGAGAGAAACAGTAATGTTATAGTATTTGAGTTTATCACAAACTGCTAGGCTTCAAACATATACTATTCTAAAAATCTAAAGACTGATCTCCCCAAGGTTCTCAGGGTGGCCTCAAACAGGCCATCTTCCTGACTCAGTCTTCTGAGATGATAGTATTACAGGCAACTGACTTAGAAAATGGTTTTTATTCCTGTTAAAGTGTATTTTTTATATTTTTTTACCAGTTTCATAAGGTGTGGATTTATTACAGTCACGTGGCCAAACTGCCTCCTGACATATTCACATTTATACTTCTGGACATAGGCTGCTCTCAACCTTGGCCAAAGAAGATTCTTTCCCCAGTTCGTTTAGTCAGGGCAGACACATGGAATCCAGTAAGTGCTGAAAACAGAGACTGATCAACACCTCCTCCTAACTCCAAGGTCCAGGGACTGTGAAAGAATAAGAACTGGAGGATGGGGAGAGGTGCTCCTCAATGCCGCCTTCTGGACATGACATGGCTACTGCACTCATGGTCCCTGTACAAGGTCACACAAGCCGAACTCCAGGATGTGTGGGGTGCAGGGTGTTCTCCACGACCCACCCCTCACGGATGCTGAGAGACGGAGAATCATTCTCTCTTGAGGATATTCCCACTGGCAAGCTTTCCGTGGCACTGGCTGGCCCCATGTCCATGCCCATATGTGCTAAAAGGACTCAATGGATTATGGAAAAAGAAAGAAGAAAAACAAAAAGAGACATGAAGTTGAGAGATGGGAACATGGGAGGGGGACACAGGGTAGTTGGTGGAGAGAATTGAGAAAATGGATATAATTATATTTCACTGAATCCACGCAAGAAGTTCTCAAGAATAAAGAAACATTATAACAACACAAGAATATGTGTATATGTTTTTATCATACAATATTTTATTACTATGTAATGCTAATATGTTATAATAATAAATCATTTTACTAGAAATACTTGAGAATTACTTCTTACAGAGTACAATTAATACTCTGAGATGTATTATATTTTTCCTAAGAATTTATGTATGTTTAGTAGTACAAGCTCTCAGTTGAAAACACAGCATTACAAGCATAAACTATCTGAATATTTTCCCATGTATTCTTACCTCCATAGTGGGTGGAGTCTTTCTTGTTCTTCTAATCCATGCTAGAATGAAAAAATAGCATTTAAATGTCTGTTTTCCATAATTTATCCAAATTAAATATTTTTTCTTTTACAGTTTATTAATGGGGGACCCAACAGCATGTGTGGAGGTCAGAGGGTAACCCACCAAAGTCAGTTCTCTCCTTCTACCACGTGGGTTTTGGAAATGGAACCCAGGTTATCAAGTTTAGTGGCAAGAGATTTTACTTGCTTGGCCATCTTGCTGGCCATATATAAAGCTTTGATTCACTCATCTCTATATATTTGAACATCTATGATGTACTGTTTTAAATATTGGAGCCTGAGCAGATAAAATGCCTCAGTTGACTGCAGCACATATACTAGGGAAGTGAGGTACAGTAAATAAACACACAGATGTATAAAGTCAGGTGGCAATATGTGTTGTGAAAAAAATACTAAACTGTCAGGAGGACAGTTTCATATCTTCAAAATCGCAGCTTGTAATCATCAGAATTCAATTTAGTCTATTATGGCATAAAGAACAAATCACAATAAAGTTCAAGGCAATATCAAAATTATATTATTCTAAAAATTTGAATTTGTAATTGCCCAATTTATCAAGGATTTAGAAAAGTTTTTATTACAGGAATTTTTTTTTTCTTATGTGCCATCTGTGGCTGGAGAATACCATCCGTCTTCACTTGAACTTTTGGGAGGCAGGATACAGAGGTGGAGCACAGACACTGGTTCAATGTCCACTTGGTGGACAGTGCAGCAGAGGGAAGGGATTAGAGCAGCTGCATCCAGAAAAGCTACACAGCATGCTCTAGACCAGGAAAGCGGCACAACATGCTCTAGACCAGGAAAGCTGCACAGCATGTTCTAGATCATAAAAAGTTACAGAGCATGCTTTAGATCAGAAACGCTGCATAGCATGCTCTAGATCAGAAAAGTTGCAAAGCATGCTCTAGATCAGAAATGCTGCACAGCATGCTCTATATCAGACTGTCTGGTTCTCCTTCCACCTCTTTCACTTCTAGCTACAGTACCTGGGACAACTTAATTCTCAAAGCATCAGATTTTGATTCTGTAAAATGGAAATTAAAATGGTATCTATAGCAAATGGTTGTTTTGAAAGCTACATGATTTTTATATTTATATATATCTTCACCTCATTGTTTAGTATATAAACATAAATGTACTCTTATTGTTTATTTTATTCAGTATACCTATGTTTATTTTTCTGTTTTGTTTTGTTTTTGTTTTGTTTGAGGCAGGGGCTCACTATGTAGCTTTGGCTGGCTTGCAACTGGCTTTGTAGACCAGGCTGGCTTTGAACTCACAGAAATCCTCCTGCCTCTGCCTCACAAGTATAAGATTAAAGGTATTCAGTACCACCCCAGTCTTATATATTTTCTATATATGTTTTCAAAAGCAAAGACCCAGTAACATCTGCTTGTCCTATGAGGGTTTACAGGAGATTCTGAAAAGCTCACTATGGGCAATGTAGTCGCTGGAGCAGTGGTTCTCAACCTTCCTGGCTGCAACCCATTAAGACAGTTCCTCAGGTTGTGGTAACCCCAACCATAAATTACTTTTCTTGCCTTTTTTAACTGTAATTTTGCTACTTTATGAATTATAATGTAAATATCTGTGTCTTCCAACTGTCTTAGGAGACCCATGTGAAAGGGTCATGAGACCCCAAAGGGGTCGCGACCTACATGTTGAGAACCACTGCTTTAGAAAGGGAAAAATAGCTTTCTAATTTTAGTTGACTCAGTCTTCTCTGTAAAGCTGTTAAGTGTCCTTCCTTATCTTATAGAGAAATTAAATAAAATCTCAAGGTTTGAAGATCTGCTCCTGCCCTTGGCTCTGAAATCAACCATGCCTTCCTAAGCAGTCTGTCAACTTTAGCAGCAAAGGCACCAAAGCAGGAGGAGGGCTAGCTGCAAACCTAACATGGCAAAGGACAAAACATCGACCCCATTCCACACACCAGGGAACAAGGTTCAGACAGACTGAGCAGGCCGGGAATTAAAAGTGGTGAATGGCTGTGAAGACCGAGTTCTCCCAGCTGAACAGACCAGACATCACCACCCTTCAAGTTAGCTTTACCGAATGCCTTTACCACACAAATAGTAACACCAGGACCTACCTTTCTGCAAAGTCTAGTTCTGCATGGTCGTGGGTGTGGAACAGACATTCCACTGTGGGCTGGGATTACTGCCCCTCTGCTGTGCTCTCCTGCACTGACCCACGTGTGCATCTCCAGCAGGTTCTGTGCTCAGCACCCTCTACTCCATTTCTGAACTACTCTACGTCTGATTCTTTTCTGCATTCTCTTTTTACTATCCTTAGCTTCTATTCGACCCATCAGAACCAAAACTTGCACAGATTTTATATGACTGTTGTTGTCAAGGTCATGGCGCACCAATAGGAAATTTCTTTCTATTATGTAAATACCTTGAGAAAGTAACTCTTTAATAGTTACATGTATACACATGTTCAATGCATATTCCAATATATATTACAATGAATTGTAATAGTTCTTGCCCATTAGAAAAAAAAAAGGCTTTGTAACATCAGAACTCCTCTACGTCATCAAGATAAAGAAGTGAGTTACAATATTTTCAGCTACTTCTTTATTGTCAAAATGTTATTTATATTTGTCAATTTTTCCCCCAGGAAAGAGGTTGGATTAAATCATTCAGTGTAAGGCCTACACCTCTTAAAAGTTTCCGATAACTCTTCAGCTTTAATTCACATTAGGAACTTAGTTCAGAACAGTCAACCACCAAGACAATATTCAGCAAATTTGAGACTCAAGCTAAATTCAGTCTACTGCTTGTTTTTACATCTTTATGTGGCGTTTTTAAATGTCAAAAGATGCATATTTCATGACATATGAAAATTATAAGTAACTTAAAATTTGGGGGGTCTATAAATACAATTTTATCAAAACACAGCCATGCTGATTTGTATCTATGGCTACAGCAGCAGAATTGAGCAACTGCAATAGCCCAAATGACCCACAAAGTCCAAAATACCATCTGGTCCTTTAAGGAAAATTTGTGCCAACCCACAGGGCTGTCATTTAGTACAATCCGTTCAGTAACAAGTATATATCTAATGCAAATCACTACTCTAATACCTAAAACAAACTTCATGATCAGCTATTATATATCTACTAATGATTACTGTATATTCTAGAATCTATAAACACATACCAGTGGCATGAGACTGTGATGAGAAGTGTAATGGCATAATGCACACTATGATCAGGAGAAAACACAGCAAAATAACTGCTTTACCGGGAAGTCCACAGAGCAGCATTTTCAGATTTCTTTCAAGATTGGAAAAAGATGTTTTAATGAACACAGAGCATTACAAAAGATTCTCCCGTCTTTTTCAGTACTTGAGGATTGAACCCAAGGGCCTTGTGCATGGCAGGAAAGCACTCTGCACCACCAAGCTGCACCCCTACTTATTTTAAAAGGTTTTAATAAAGGTAAAGACATTGGGGGTCCTATCTCTTGTTTTACATCTATAAATATTAGTTCGTAAAAATTGAAAGAACATTTTATGACATAAAATTATGTAGAATTAAAATTTTCAGTATCTAAATATCATATTGTGTTGAAATACGTGTTTTCTGATGTTTATTGGTTTTAAGTTTTAAAAATCCATTTATAAGTTTGAGAATGTAACAAAGCCCAGATGCTGAGTGTTGGGTGCCAGCCAGTCGCTGTCACAGCACATCCTTCTCTGAAAAAGGACCATGGGCTTCCCTAGGCTTCATTTTAAATTATTATTTCATGATCTTTGCTTTAAATAGATATATAAACATTAACTGCTGCAATAAGCTTGTATATTTATGATTCTTCACAAACCAGACACCTGAAACATGTTTGGATGATGGCTGGCAGCACTACTGTTTGCCATGAATCCATAACAAGTCAAGACCACAGCGGACACGGTCCGTGTGATCGCTCACTCTGACATTCAGACCCACTTCTCAGCTACCACAGGTCACACAGACACATCCCGGTGAGAGCCGGCAAAAGGCAGAAGAGGAGGGGATGGAAAAAAGCACTAATACTGAAGCATGATTTTTAAATCTCAAAACAGTCTTAACAGTACCTCTACCCAATTATGGATCATAAAACGTTCTTATTATTAGTAAGTATCTGTAAGGTGATCTCTGTACCAGCCGTCTTTATGCTACCATTGTTGAAGGAGAATTCAGCAAAGGACTGGACAGTTAAGGCCCTAAGATCCTAGTGGTCTTTCATCTGCTCATCTGCATTCTCATCACTATGCATGAACTTTAATATTCCCGTTGGCACAAACTACATTGAGTATAAAGGTGAGCATGCAATTAAGGCTCCCATTAATCATGTAGAGAGACAAAAAGAAGCAGGGAGAAGAATGCTTCATGAGGCATACTTTCTCCAAATCTCTACAGGCATTAGGATCCTTCTAGAAACACTGCTAACCATGTATGGTAAATTAGATATCCTACCACCTGGTCACTAGGTGAATAAAATCAAAAGTATAAGGAATATAAAGATGTTAACGGTTTGCACTCAAAATCTGCAAATTTGGAAGAGATGTTTATTTTACTTAAAGAAGAGACTCATAAAGTCTAATAATTAGAAAAGAAAGAAAAAAGTGATCTTCACCAGTTCTGAGTGTTGACACCTCATACAAATAGATAAATAAATAGATAAATAAAGAAAGGTACACTTTCTTCAAGTTTGAGAAATTCTTCAAAAGACATATTGTGAAATGAGTTGTTTTCTGGTAACTGAACTTTAAGTATATCTGACAGATATAGGAATTATCTGGTGACCTTTAGGATTCAGGTGGCTTCTGAAATATGAAGCAAAAACTTGAAGCTTCATCCTAAAAGTGCAAGGAACTGATGCTGCCAATAGACATCCAGGTGGGAAGAAGGCAGATCGTTGCCTGGCTGGCACCTTTATCACAGTATCACAGGATCCTTGCTAGAGCACCCAGCTAAGCTATGCCTGGGCTCCTGA